GCGAGAAGTTCAAGCACGTGCGGATGACGCCCGTCGGCGGCGTGAAGACGAGGGTCGCTCCGACCGTCCTACACAAGCTGTGCCGCTCGGGGCGCGCGGCCAAGGTGGAGCTCAGCGAGTGGTTGAGGTCGAACGAGCTCCAGCGGGCGAGCATCAGTTCGGAGTTGACGATGCTGGCCATGGCCCTGGACCGCATGATGGCGGTGGGGGCCCGCGACCAGCTCATCGACAGTCCTGCGGCCGAGCTCACCTGCCTCCGTCTCTATGCGATCTGGATGGCCTACAAGAACGCGAAGTGCATCAACGACTGGCAGCGACCAAAGGGACGGCAGAGTGGAAGCAAGTGGCGCTCCAAGGTCGACTGGGCCATGGCGGGCGAGCACCTCGAGGTGGGCGGCGACTTAGAGCTCGCCGACCTCTTCAAGGTCGACGACGAGGTGACTGAGATGCCGAAGAGGAGGGCAACCATCGCGAAGCACCTGCAGGGCGTCAAGGACGGCAGCGCGGCGGGTGCGGATCGCCCATGGGTTGCTGCCGGGGCCCCGTGACAAGTCCTGGCCATGCGCGCGCTCAAGGCGTGAGGCCGCGCCCTTGTTGGGGAAGGCTACGGACGGGGTGCGCCGTCGCCTGTGAGTCGCCTGGGAGCTCGCGGGCCTTCGAGGTAGCGGGCTGGCGCCTGGTCGCGCCCCCATGGCTGCGCGGCCTCTCGGGCGCGGCCGACTTCTCCGGGTCGAACGAGGACGTGTCCGAGGTCGACCACTATCTCAACGACGCCGTTTTTCTCCCGTCGCGGCGCAGGGCGCCTCGTGGACCTTGCCCCTGGCGATGGTGAAGGAGAGGGAGCGGGGCCCTTTGCGAGCGCCCCCCATCCTGCCGCGCCCGCTTTCTGCCCGCCCTTCTTCTCAGGGCCTGGGCGAGAGACAGCTGCGGCTGGCCCTCGTCCGAGTCCAGAGGGCATCGGCGGCCTTTTCGAGGTCTGGCGGCGGGTCATCTGGGCCAGGAGATTCTGATCCTACGGCGGCGGAGGCATTTGCGAGAGTGGAGGACTGCGACCCCATTGCAGACGGCCGTCGTCAACGACCTTTGGACAGTCACACTCAATGGGGGCGCTTGGATACCATCGACGACGGCAGGGCGGCGTTCTGCCTCTTGGGGGGGAAGGGGCACTGGACCACCAGAGTGCACGTGCGAGGACGAGGACGAGGACGACTGGCAGGCGGCTCGCCATGGGGGACATGCGCCCGCTGGTGCCAAGGAGCTCTCGGCGCCAGCGCCGACTACGAAGGTCCTGAACATCGAGAGGCTCTCGGAGACGGCGGGGGCCGACCCCCGGGGACTTCGGCAACGAGATGATCGAGGAGGTGGGCCAGGCCGACTGGGGCAGCAACGAGAATACGCGCAGCTACACCGACCCGGGCTGGAAGCGGGCTGACAATCGACTCGGGCTCACCCTCAGATAGCTTCGCCCGGGTCTGATCGGCTACGTCAAGAACGTGCGCGAGCGGGCTGGCGTTTTCACCGTCGTCAAGAATTTGAGCGAGTCGGATTAAGGAGGTGGGAAAGAGCCGCCTGGTCTGGGACTGCACGCGGGCCAACCTAGTGTTCAATCCTACACGGCGGCGGCTCTGCCCCTGCCAGGCGATATTCCCGACTGGTTCCGCCGGCTACGATGGCCAGCTTCTTCGGCGGACTATTTTGCGCTGCCCGAGGGGGGCCCGCAGCAGATATGCGATGGCGCGCGCAAGCAGGGCGTCTCTATACCGAGGCCTGTTCCCGACGATATCGTACTTGGGGCCATGTCCCACGTTATGGGGTCCAGCTGGGCGGTATTCCTGGCCCGCAGTTCCCCCTCGGGCGCGCTGGAGAGCTTGCCCGAGATCAACCTGGGGCAGATCACCTACGGATGACCGACCCCGTCCTTAGAGAAGGTCCAGCTGATGCTCTTGCTTTACGTCGACGGCTACATCGGGCTGAATCTGCGCTTGGAGCTGGAATTCGACAGGGAAAAGGTGAAGGCGCACCTCGTGGCACAGGGACTTCCAGTACACGAGGAAGACTGGGGCGAGGGCTTGGCGATGGGGTCTTGGTCTGTCCACTGGGCCGATGCCGCGCAGGCTCCGCGTCGCCCAGGACAAGATGAGGGATATGGTGCTGGCAACAGAAGCGGTGGTCATCATAGGTCGCGTGCCCCCCGGTGCTCTCAGCAGCTTACTGGGGCTGCGGACGTGGGCCATCATGACCAACGAGGCGGCGTTCTGCATCTTGGATGCTGCCTACCGCTGGATGACAAGCTTCAGCGAGGAGGATGCGTGGAAGTGGTAATTTTTACATTCAGGTTCAGGGCGAGCTGCAGGCGCTTTCAGCGCTACGCGTGTTCATGTAGGCGGATTTGGAGGCACCCTGGCTGGAGAAGGTCTATCTTGCGGATGCGTCGGAGGAGGGTTTTGCAGCGGTCGTTGCGGAGTCGGACACGGTGCTAATGAGGGCGGAGCTCAGTCGT